AACCATGTGTGACATTCAAAGCTATATCTCCATAAAAAGAAGAGGTATCATATGGAAACTAAGTAAAGTTTGACTGAGAGGTGGATGTCCAACGCTAATTTAGATGTAATTTTTATCGAGTTGCACGTAATATATCATCCGGTAAAATTAGGCCAAGCAAATGTTGGAATTTCACGTATTTTGGATGTCATACTTCTTCTATATTATCTTACTCCTGGTAGTACTAACCCGACCAACACTAACACTAGCTCTACAGGGTTCGACACTAAACGCTAGTCCGTTAGTCGAGGACTAGTAAAGAAATCAGGAAGACTAGTAGATTCCCACAGCAGTTACTCCGCGGGACTAGTTATATTTTCCACGGTCCTCACCGTCCAATTTCCCATCGATTTTACCGGCGGCAGGTCTCTCATCAATATCCAAAGAGCTATATATAACTCGTCCAAATTAACAAGTTTTCCCTGTTAGACGCGCTAGTCCAAGTAGAGTAGACGCTAGCACGCTCTGCACGCTCCAAGCGATGCTAGACCCTAGCGGCAGTGCAACATTGTTAACACAATTGGGTCTTCCAACCCACCCAGTCTACCGATTGATCGCTTGACACGTAGCTGTTGACAGAGAACAAACGAAACGGTCTGATTGTAGAAATGATGCAACTAATCAGTTATACTTATAGGCTCTCATAGGGAGGTATTCACATCGCAACCACATCGCATGCGTGTGTTACTTGAAGCAGTCTATACAAATAGTAGTGAAGCTAATAGTAGGTACATCCTTATCCAATAGTGTAATTTACTAACATCAAGGTTGTTATGTGAAAGTATTTGGACGGCGCTCCCCTCCACCTCCCAAACGTAAATCGCAGGAGGAGAAATTAGATGGCCAGCGTGTCTATGATAAGACGAAAAGGATGCGTGCGTTCCAGCCAGCGTGGAAATCGTCATACCCGTGGCTAGAGTATGATCCAGCCAAGGGTATCACTATGACCAGTGGTGCAGGCTGTATGTCTGGTAGTTTTTTCACCGGCACTACAAACTATCGTTTGGAAACTGTTAAAGCGCATGATGCTTCCGAGGGGCACAGAAAGATCCTAGCAAAAAGGACCATGCCTGTTCGCGAAACAGTGGGGGCCCAAGTGACCCAGAACTGAGATTGAAATGGTGTGTGGCGATCAAAAGAGGTGATGAAAGTGCACACGCACGTGTACGTGCACACGCACGCACACACGCGCGCACACGCACGGACGTGCACACGCACCCACGCACGTGTACCTGCACACGCACCCACGCGCACGTGTACGTGCACACGCACCCACGCACGCGCGCACGTGTACGTGCACACGCACGCACGCACACACGTGTACGTGCCCACGCACGCACGTATACGTGCACACGCATGCGCGCACACACGTGTACGTGCCCACGTACGTGTACATGCACATGCAGGCACGTGTACGTGTACACGCACGTACGCACGTGTACATGCACACGCACGCACACACACACACACACACGTGTACGTGCCTATGCACGCACGCACGTGTACGTGCCTATGCACGGACGCACGTGTACGTGCACACGCACGGACGCACGTGTACGTGCACACGCACGCACGCACACACGCGTACTTGCCTATGCGCGCACGCACGTGTACGTGCACACGCACGCACGCAACCACGTGTACGTGCACACGCACGCACGCGCGCACGTGTACGTGCCCACGCACGTGTACGTGCGCACGCACGCACGCACCCACGTGTACGTGCACACGCACGCACGCACCCACGTGTACGTGCACACGCACGCAAGCATACGTGTACGTGCACACGCACGCAAGCATACGTGTACGTGCACACGCACGCAAGCATACGTGTACGTGCACGCACACGCACGCAAGCATACGTGTACGTGCAGATCAGCTTTCCTCCCAGATGTCTTTGCACCTCTACTTTGCAACTCTGATTTCAATTCATTTACGGTTTTTCTTTCGTAACTATAGACGCCATTGTTTAGCAGTGATACCGGACGGGAAATGCTATCCCCCGGGCGTGGAGGGACAGTACCGCAATGTGGCAGCCCTAGTGTTAGGATTAGGGTTAGGGTTAGGGTTAGGGATATAAGGCCATGTCTAGTATGACTGTGGAATCTTTCTGTGGAAGATTTGGACTTTGAAGTATACGTCAACTGTATCACGTGACTGTCCCTCCACGCCCGGGGGATAGCAACACCCATACCGGACAGTGCACGCGCGCCATCTATCCAGCGATTAGTAAATGGCGATTACTAAATTAGTAAAACCCCATTAGAAATGCACATGCTATTGGAAAAGACGGCAGGTCCTACACCGATTATGTCAAGCTGTGCCAGCTTGACAAGGCCAAGGGGTTAGATGTCGGCAGCACTCACCTCACTGACAAGGCCTGCCAAAGGTTCATTACGGCGATAGCCGATCATAGATACTAACCCAAGATACTAACCCAAGATACTTGGGTTAGTATCTATGAGCCGATACCAGGCGCCGGGAACAGTTTGTAGCTATAAATGAGGCCAAATTCCTTGCTGTGATAAGTGACGGATCCACAGATTCCTCATCAAAGGAGGCCGAAATTTTATTTTCGAATTAAAATTGTTTTTAATTTAAATTTAAATCTTATGATCCATATCAAAGTTACATGTATTTTATACAATTGAATGTATTTTACAAAACCTTTCTGGGGAACACTTCTTGTACCCTGGGAGAGACCCCCTGTACCTCCTAGCAGAAGGGGGGCTCCACCCTCCTACCCCACCTACCTCCTGGCAAATCACAATTCTCGTCGCTCTGCGCCTAGTAAGAGTCCTTCGGCAGGACTAGTAGAATCTTGGAAGGACTAGTACATTTTTTCTTTTACTAGTCCTGTGGACTAATGAACTAAAATGGTTAGTGTCTAACCCTGCTCTAGTAGTAGTACTATAGCCCGCTTACATTGACTGCCGCTGGCTGCCAGCGGCAGTCAATGTAAGCAGGCTATAGTACTAGAACTAGACCAACACAGGTCTTCTAACCCTAGAAAAGACCGTTTCTTGGAGCTAGTACTAGTGTAGTAGTACTAGTACTAGTAGCTAGTACTAGTAGTACTAGTAGCACTACTACTAGTAGCCACAAGTTCCCTTCTCGCTTAACACTACGTGTAACAGTCGGAGAGCCTGGTCGGTTTATACTACTAGTAGTATTTCCCATAGCATATGCCGGGCTTCCTTAGTTCCTGTGCCAAAACGTCATATCAGCTGAGGTTTTAAGCTAATCAGAGGTTGGAGCAATTCCTCTGTTTAGTGATCTTGCCAGTCAGTGGCTAAAGCGTAAACGGAGGAATTGCTCAGAATACAATACGAACGCGCTACTTTGAACAAGGAACTCTTTGCGAAAGTTAGCAAATATTCGGAGAGTCCTCTATAAAGAGTGTAAACGTTGTAATCTTTTGAAAATAAACTATCAGGTAAGTACAGTCAGTGAAATATCTAATACAGTAAAACTCGCATAAGTCGTCTTCGTCTCACTCATCATGGATGTCAAAGTCTCAATTTTCTCTCATAGTAAATCCATTGGAATAGCCCCGCCTAAGTCATCATTTATAAGCTGTCATTATGTGCAAGTCGGTGCCCTCAGACAGGTCCCATGTAATACAAACAACAGTAATTTCCTATCTAAGTCGTCATCAGAAATGCTGATGGCGTACGTAATGAACAATTCGCGTGAATGGTGCGAGTCCGGAGTAAAATACCACCCGATTTACTGTCGTACTGCCGGATTTGACATATGCAGGGGTCCGTGTGTAATGTAGTAAATCTAGATGTATCATATAAGTAGTGACTCCCTGGAAATTCTGATACACTGACTATTTCGTTCCAGAGCATGGCCTCGCGGAATTACCATATTTTTTCAGCATGGGTTCCAAAAAAATTTGGCAGACGTGCACCGCAAATTCCCTGCAATGTGCAAGTTAAATGTAATCAACAGAGGGTGCTACAGATAGCCAGCGTGTGCCGCGCTTGCCGCTAGTGCGTACGCTGTACGTGCATGTGTTATGGCCAGCAGCAGTGTCGATTGATGTACGGACCTGATTGTTTCATGTTTGCTATGTGTGTGTCACGAACGGACGTTGTGTGTGGAGCATGAGCCCTACATATAAGTCGACAAAATTATGACTTCTGCGTATGTCGTCATTTTCGTAAGTCGGCTCAAACATGCTGGTCCGAAACGTTTAAACTTATGCGAGTTTTACTGTACTGACACTCTCGAGAAACGTCACGGTCTATTTTTATCTTCCAATCACAGGTCGGTGCAATTCCTCTGTGTAGCTGCATATGTAAGCTCAGAAAACCTATTTAAAACTATTTTGAAAAATTACCTACTATGCCTACTTTTATCCAGTGGGACTTAATTAGGGGGGATTGGAAGCAAAGCCACTATTTGCTTTAAAATTTTGCGTAGATATACCAATCTTTTCGATCATATTGTGTTAATGTATTGTGTGAGCTCAAAATGAAGGAAAACGTTACTGTATTAAGTTAAACCATCCTGGAGTAAGTAACCACAATATTAAATGATGAATCTCCCCAGTGAAAATTGCTCAGACTACAGAAACGTATAGAATCGAGTCATAGCCCTGTTCACACCAGTCACTGCTAGGGCTACGTTATCATATCTAGGACTGAATTAGCAATGGCTATAAGCCATGTAATGAGGATTGTTAGCCAAAATTGCCAATTTGAATATATGTATACGATGAATTACGGTGATATGCATGTTTTGCAGCTTTCAATAATCGTACTTGGAGATAGAATTTACTACCTAATTGGCAAATTAAACAAACAAACTACTGGCTTAGTGCTTATCAAGTAAAAAACAACAACATTTTTGTGCGTAAAATGTTTACGTTTTTATATCACAAAATGAAAGCTCAACATTAAGGACAGAATAGACTATACCAGTAAACAAGTTAAGATCAGATTTTAGTAGACTAGCAAAATTAAGAAATAAATGGTAAAACGCAATGCATTATCATACAAATATATTACAGAAAATGTTAAACTAAAGCTTTAGACTGATTTGACTGTACCAGTAAACAAGCTGAGATCATATTTTAGTAACCTGCTTTTATCACAATAGCATAGTGCAATGCATGACTCTTATTGGAGAAATTGAGAGATAAATGGTTAAAACAGAATTTCCAATATTCGTTGCACATACTATGAGAGACGCATTCGTGCCACGATACATCGGACCAACTGCGCCATCCTAGACAGACTGCGCCCAGGTTTCATACGCCATATGCAGCTGCATAAACACCCGCAACAACTTCAAACAAGACCCTATCTGGCGCCTTGTATACAGCTGTGAATGTGAATGTGAGTTACATTTCTAGAAATCCAGATGAGACGGGATACTAGAGAAGCGTTGCCGAAAGGAGGTGTTGATCTGATGCGCTGAGCGCAACTCTTGCGCGCAGTTCCGCGGCAAGGCGCACGCGACCGCGGGAACGTCCTACGACAGTATGCAGCGCTGGCAGCTATGGACCCGTGCGCCGAATGCATAGGCCGGCGCACGAATCCATAGCTGCCAGCGAACAGTCGAGAATTTTACCGGGAATACAATGAAAGAGCTCAGCTGCATTGAGCTGTTGTTGTTTATGAGTTCAATGAAAATATCAATAAAAGTGTCAACAGTTTCTACTTCTACACTGTGTTGTACAAGTTTTATTATCAATTATATTTTATTATGCGTCAGCGGCTTCATGTAACGAGCGGCAGCTGCAACGGATACATAAGCTGGGTTTTATAATAATACATGGGGAAATGATACGCCTCTATTCACGTAAAGAAAAATGTTGATCTATATACAAAGAATGAGGAGGTAACAGTGCCTAAAATGAGGCCCAAAATTTTTTTTTGGGCCAGTAAAAATTTTGAGCCACTGGCCCAAATGAAAAGTTGGTGGCCCAAATATTTTTACAATTTTTCATATAAAAAACAACAAATTCATAACATGTTCCAACATTTATTCGTCCTAATAGGCTAGTATTCCTCAATCAGACCCTCAAAGCGCATGGCCTTGAGGACCCCTGCATTTTCTTTCCAAGTGACGCCAGGTGCGTGACGCCAGGCCGGTATCGTAACGGACATTTTCATTGGTTAGAATTTGTTCTTTGACCAATCGCAGTACAGATAACAAGTCGCATTCATGATAAATGCCGATCGGATGTTGCCGTGCCGTAAACCGCGATGAAATGAAAAAATCCAAGACGCTCCGATTGTACTGCTATTTTCCGGTTTCAAACTCGAGGTACTTTACTTTAATAGTAAACAGTACAAACACAGGGTCTCCAACCCTGATTTATATAGGATTACACAAAGTTGAAAACATATTTGTAGCTATAGTATCATTTCACTGGGAAATGGAATTTTAGTGATTTCGTTACGGAGTTGAAATTTGAGTATGACCCTACTAAATATTTCAACTGTTGTTTACAATTATGATGTCAGGCCCTCTGCTCTTTAGGTCTTGTTCATGATTACTTTAGATCGCATCAAGGCAGACCCTGCTAAAAGAGCAAACTTCAGGGGTTTTTCCAGAAATGTCAACTCTGTAACAAAAATTTCAACTCCGTAACAACATTTCAACTCCGTAACATCATTTTGTCGAATTCTAAAAATAAATCTACCAATTAAATGAAAATGATTTCCTCCAAAAAACCAACCTGGATACTATAATAGTCAAGTGTCTGGTCAGTTTTAAATTGTTTTTTATGTATGGATCATCACGGAAAATCCTTTCTTTGGAAATCGTTACAGAGTTAAAAGGGCCTAGAGACACCCGGAGATTAAATTCCCTCACCATTAAAGAAATTGGACAAATTAAGCGATGCTCAATTTCTGGTTGTACTCTTAAGTGCCTGGTCTACCTGTGATAAAAATGTAGAGGTGTTGCTTGCATGTTTTTTTTCTTGAAAATAATTCACCAATTAGTGCCCTCATTGAGAAAATTACCCATAAAACCATTTAAATTCTGGGCTATCTGTCCATGAAAAATTCTGAATAGCAAATAATGAGCCATATATTAGAAATAGCAACTCCAGATGAGACGGCATCGCACATGTTTCATCTCGCTTGAACTTCTGCACAGATAGGCCTGCAAGCATTTCACGACCTAATACTGTAGACCAATTGCTTTTAGTTTGGATAGTAACATAGAGTGGTCAACTGTATGCGATGCTTTTTCTATATGTAAAACTAGCATCCCAGTGAAATACCGTTTATCTGCTTCATTGGCAATGTCATCCGTTAACTAGATGAAGGCTGTATGTGTAGAATGACCTCATGGACCGTATAATCGCTCAATTCAGCAGTTGTGGCAATTCCACAAGCCTTTTCACTACGCACGTAGGTAGACATTTCATAGAAATGGTCGTAATTGCTCGTTTGCTATTCGGCGCGCTTCGTTTTCATCTAGAAAAGCAAGTTACCATGTTTGGTGTTTCATGCCCTGACATTATTTTCGAACATATCGCCTTTTGTCATTATTACGTCGTCATTGTTTGTATATAGGTGAACATTTCTATTTACATGAATAGAGGCGTATTATTTCCGCATGTATTATTATAAAACCCAGCTTATGTATCCGCTGCAGCTGCCGCTCGTTACATGAAGCCGCTGATGCATAATAAAATACAATCTTACTATAATTTGGCGAATGTTGTATGTATGTATGTATGTATGTATGTATGTATGTATGTATGTATGTATGTATGTTAATGAAAGGCTCCGTCAGTTTGGATCCAAATAGCGCCAAATTTACAGAAGAGGTCGATGAGTACACGGGACGGGTTCTAAACTATACTCGGTTGAAACCGTTTGTTTGGTCTTAAAAAAGACACAAAAAAACACAAAAAAAGGTAAAGATTTGCCTGAAAATAGGGGGCGCTGTTTTGTTTTCGTTCTGTTTCAACAGGTTTCAATTTCGGGTTGTTCTGTGTATCTCTGTTCTGTGTCTGTGTGTCTGAGATTTGTATAAGCCCAAAAGAAATAATCATGTAATAATAAAGTTAAATATTCAGTAGCTATTTGGCCATAGTTTCCCATATGAGA